TTCTCTCTCCCTTCCTCTCTCTCCTCCTCTCTCCCCCTCCCTCTCTGTCTCTCTCCCTCTCTCCCTCTCCTCTCTCTCTCGTTCTCTCGTTCTCTCGCTCTCTCTCTCTCTCCCTAGCTCTCTCCAGCTCTCTCTCTCCCTCTCTAGCTCTCTCTCCTTCTGTTATATCATCATCATCCACTGTGTTCTGCGTCTACAGTCGTGTGGGTATGTCCTGTAGCCGCATTCAGTCTTTCTTCATCTCTTTCCACCGTGTCTTCTGCCTCGCGAGCTCTCTAAGCTCCTTGAGTTTCTTTTCTTCTGTTATATACATGTGTATAATGGTCATACGTGTGTGTGTGTGTGTGTGTGTTTCAGTGTGTGTATGTGTCTGTGTGTCTGTGTGTGTGTAGTACGTACGTATGTGAGTGTTTGTATGTGACACCTGAACTGATAGTTATACAAAATCCCCTATATGATTAGTTACAGCTATAATTTTCCCAACGCTACCCACAACGTCACCTATCGAGACTTTGTTGAAGCACATCCAGTGGCCAACCGGACCCAGATCAAGTGTGACCGGGGGTACGAGCACGACACGTCCGAATACAAGAGCACTGTCGTTACCGACGTAAGATGCATATGTGTCTCCCTCCTAAAATTTTTAAATGTTATTCTAAAAGGTATTTCTGCTGGCAGGCATGAATGAGAAAAACGTTTTAGCATTCAAAAGTGTTGCTCTGCATTAATGCACGGTAGTCCAATCCAGATTCTAAACCTTGCCTTTATTCTGTCTATACACCTCAGCACTGAACGGAAAGTACATGTACGTTGTATAAAGCTAACTTCAACTCTCGCGAGGTTTTAGGTAAGATTTCACGAGACTTCGATCGCCTGCCATATTAATAATGTATTGATAACAATAAGGCATAGGAGGCATTATACATTTGTATCGAAAGACAGACATTTGAAGTTCTGCATAGCTATACAAGCCAAATCTCTTGACGTAAATACGACAATAATTGCTCAGATGAGTCCCTATAAGAATACACTTGTTTGTCTGCAGTGGGACCTTGTCTGTGACAGCAGTTGGAAAGTGAGCATGGCGAAGTCTGTGTGGTTCGCTGGGTTCATGGTTGGAGCCGTGTTTGGCGGGCATGTGGCAGACAGGTCAGTCTGTCCTTGGTCTGATAGTTAGTCTCCACCAAACTCTTTTGCAGGCTGAACAAACTGTAGAAATCGGCAAATTGGGCCCTATATGGCCGGCCAACTCCCCTGGCCAGGTACATTCTTTTTATAGGCCGATCTCTACTACGCATACACATGCATTAATTCAACCTGCAAAGGAGTCTGGTGGACACTAGAGTCTAGTCCAGTGGACTCCAGTCTAGAAGAAATCGAATCTGTATTCCGCCGTATTCCGGTGTATCCCAGGTATTCCGGTGTTTACCGGGGCCACGGTAAGTAGAAGAATCTGAAAGGCTTGCAAACGTCACTAACTAGCCGCAAAATGGCCAGACTGACCACAATGTTCAAAGTCCTGCACAACACCATCTCTGTCCCCCACACCTCGTGTCTTGTCCCGGCAGCTCGATGCTCCCGCCGCACTAATCACGCTTTAAAGCTGCAGACCATCGCGAGTAAGAACAACTATTACAGGCTCTCGTTCTTCCCTCGCACCATCAAGGAGTGGAATGAACTTGAGCCCAGTGTGGCGGAGGCGAAGTCCATCTCCCAGTTCAAAGCTGAGCTGGGACGGGCTTCGCTGCATTGAGCTGCTTCCCGGTCCTTGTACATATGTAAATACGTGTAACACTAGCACCACTGATTTCACTTGTCCTGTCCTTGCACTTGTCCATGTCCACCCCTACCTTACCCTTTGTTTGCACTTTGCACACAGTATTAATGCGCAGCTGCTAGTAATCTTCTCTTTAGAAGGCTAAGCAGTATCAAAGATGATGATGATGAACTATTATAATATGTCTTAAACAAAACTCTTTTCCTGAATACACATCTGTACCATCTGTACCAGGTATGCTGTCTTCCACATTCACTTCCTAAAAATTATATTTAACTTGACAATCATCAAGCAGGATAATGCTTCCAATGATCGTGATTTACTAGTATGAAAATTACCCAATTCATCGTATAAGTGTTATTTCAATGTCGTTAAAGTTTGTCAGTTTATAAGTTGTCTTAATGTGTTTTGATAACCTGCATGATTCTAAGACCCATTAAACTCTAAGCAATGTCACTGATAACCATCTGTTCCTGTTTTGGGCGACGCCACAAAGATGGGGCCGTAGACCCGTGCTGCTGGCTTCCCTGGTCGGTATCTGTGTGTCCGGTATCGTCTGCGCTTTCTCGCCAAACTACGCTGCCTTCATAGCCTTCCGCTTCTTCATAGCCACAAGTACCATGGTCACCTTTCTGGCTGCTTTTGTGATGAGTAAGAAAAAATTCTTCTTATAGTAAAAACGATAACAACAATGGTATAAAATACAACGTATGGCAAAGAATTTCAGGACACTAATATACCCTGAAGAATACTTTGTAGTAGGGGGCACTTGTACAGTTTTTTTGGTTGAATTTCTAACACTTTTAATATGAAAATTATTATGTACCGTCCTATATAAAAATGCATGGATTGACTTGTCACATATTAGTACACGGTGACATGCATGTAAGTATAGTGCATTTTCGACTCAGGAGCCTTAACCTCTGACATTACCGGCAAGCTGTGAGGTGGCTTATTGGTACCACATAACGTCCTTCCTTATAATAAACCCCTCAAACTTTTCCCAGTACAAGAGCTGGTTTCCGCCGACAAACGCAGTTTTACAGGGATGGTCTTTTGGATCTTCGCCGCTCTCGCGCAAGCAATTCTCGCCGCGATCGCCTACTTCATACGGACCTGGAAATGGCTTCAAGTCGTCATCACTGTGCCGACACTCCTCTTCATCTCTTTCTGGTGGTAAGTTTGTTTTCAATATTCTTTGAAAATGTTGTCTATTGTGGGGTTTTGTCAGTTGTTCCTTACGTTGGCTTTGGGTGGGAATTGACAAAAAAGTCATACTCATACGCATCGTGAAATGTATGTTTCCATGGCTCTGCTGTAGGATGATGGATTGATGATTTAGGAAAATGATTGACATCAGAATAACCTAAGGGAAAATATATTTTGTATTGCGTGTGGATGCACTCAGCATTTAGAAAACAGCTCATGCTCCCTTGCTACCACGGGCACTTCAGGCAGCAAAGTTGGAACTTTAATATCCAGCATTTTCTACCAAACGTTGTATTTTACTTTAAAGATACATGTATCGTTAATCCAATCTGCAGGCTTATCCCCGAGTCCCCACGTTGGCTGATCTCAAGAAGTCGTCACAAAGAAGCGGCGGCCATTTTGCGGAAAGGCGCGACGGTTGCCAAGGTTACGCTACCAGACGAAGTTTTCCATGACAACATTCCTTTGACCCAGGTGATAAATGTTCTCTACTTAAAATGATGTTAAAAATTTGTTCCAACGAAGTAAGGGACTGTCTTACTGCTGCCTACCTCAGAACTTACGAAAACCGTACGGATACGTGGCGTCAGCGATTGGTCAAAAAGAGCCACTAAGTCGATACCGCCCGCCGGCTCTATTGAATGATGGTTGGTAAAACTTGGTATGCCCTGATGAAGACGGCAGGCGATATCAACTTCCGGGCGTTTTGGCCAATTGCTGACGCCATTGAAGAGTCGGTAAAGTACTAAATTCATATCATTTGGTTTTTGTCTTTAAGACGGAGGATAAAGATCAGAAGAAGACGAAAGAGAAGGTCTACACGTTTATCGATCTGTTCAGAACCCCGAACCTTCGGAAGTGGACTCTCAATATCTTCTTTCTCTGGTCAGTGAAACGCTTTAAAGTTTGACTTTTTTCGCTCATAATGTTCATATATAGATCATTATATTCATACATAGACCATAATGTTTATATATAGGTCATAATATTCATACATAGATCATAATGTTTATATATAGATCATCTTTTGAAAATTTAACGTCGTGTATTCTACTTCTGCAGGATCGTGAACACCCTGGTGTATTATGGGATATCCCTGAACCTCTCCGCCCTGAGCGGAAATGTTTACCTCAACTTCGCCATTTCCGGTCTCATCGAGATCCCGGCCAACCTCCTCCCGATCTTCCTCCTCAATAAGTAGGTTGAAATCATAATAAAATGTTGAACTTTATTCCAACACAAAGAGTACACAGAGATCAAATTTTCAACGACCACTGTCGCCTTCATCAGGATAATGTATGACCAATCACTTCAAAGCTAAATCTCGCGAAAGTTACGGTTACAGACACGTGACCTTATTCACACGAGACTTAACGGATACGTGACGTTAGCAATTGATCAAAAGTGCCAATGAGTTCATATCGTCCACCGTCGCAATCCAGCCGTCACAGATGGCTTCTCCTATACCTGATTCTGTCCTTGCAGGTTCGGCCGACGCTGGCCTCTGTGTGCGCTGCTTCTGGCTGGTGGTGTTGCCTGTATTGTGGCCTTCTTCATCCCCAAACGTGCGTATGGTTTCATCTCTACAAAAACAAACAAACAAACAAACAAATTTCCTTGCTTGACTTTTCTTATTGCAAGATCTAGTAGTCATAGTCATATCTTGGCTATAAAGGCCTGTGCTTTTCACAATTAACCACAAGGTCCACAAATATACCATCATCAGTCTTATTTCTGATACGTCGCAGACCTTGGCTGGATGACCACGACCCTGGCTATGATCGGGAAGTTCTGCATCACCGCTTCCTTCGGCGTGACGTACGTCTTCTCGGCAGAGATATTCCCCACAGTTGTCAGGTATGGAGTCTTCTCTTCTTAAGGTTGCTTAAGGTGTTGGTGTTGCCCGAAAACCTTAACGACACAAAGCTCTGTCATGACCTTGCTAAAAGGTATGTCAAAAATCGTATGGCAAATGTGCCTTAAACTTCAACTTGAACAAGGTACGTTTAATATGTTGTCATTTTCCATGCAAATCCCAGGCAAATCGGCATGGGTATGTCCTCCATGAGCGCTCGCGTCGGAGGTATAGCCGCCCCGTTCGTGAATTTGCTAGGCCGTCATTGGGCGCCGATGCCTTACGTCATCTTCGGAGGAACGTCGATCGCCGCCGGACTGCTGACGCTGCTGCTACCGGAAACGGCTGGAAGGAAACTTCCGGCTACCATCGAAGAGGGAGAAAACTTTGGAAAAGGGGAAGGCATTGTGAACGAGGAATGATGAAAACAAAGTGGAATCATACGAAAGCCCACAAGGACATTTCGTAGCCTCTGCTAAAATACCATTTGTAGCCTCTGAGGCCTAGGCTACCAAACATGTTCCTATGGGCCTTCGTACAATCTCCTTGGTACAATCAAGAAGGTTGACCAGCTCTAACTTGGGTGCTTCTACTTTATAGTATATACTAACATTGCGACATAAATTGCAATCGCGTCACCTATTGATAACTCATAGTACTGCAAGCTTGACACTGTCTGATATGTGATGAATCATCCTGCATTTGCCTGCAAATGCTGCCTTTCTAATTTGATTCCTACATTCTGCTCCCAAATAGAAATATAATACTTAATCTTAGCGATGGCATCACTGGGTTCTGAGATTGTTTCAAAGGCTTAAACCTAATCAGATTTACCAAAAGCCTTTCCAGAAATAGATTTGACACTAACTGTTCTCTGACGCCATACCTGATTAGCATTGGGTTCGAGTCTGAAAGGCCATGTGGACGCACGAACAATCCTCGGCGGTGATATATTTCAAATTTCCGTGAGAACTTCCCAATAGTAAGTACGGCTTTTCTTTCACCGTGGTCTTACGTCACTAAATAAGTAATGGCTATGTCATCTGACACGCTACAAGTTCGTAATCAGGTTCATGGATTGGTGTAGGTGGGTTTTTTGAAAAGATAAGAAAGATATATTATATCTATTTTTTATATATTCCAACATGTAATCACAAGACGTGGTGACGGCACACTCAAGTTTTTTTCAACTTATATCAATGCCACCACCAACACAGGGGACAATACAGTACTCATTTTCACCTGTACTATAGGTGAAGGTACTGTAGTATTGTACTGTATTTCCCCTTACGTTTCCAGTAAGTACTGTACATGTATGTCTTTTTGTGTTTATCTTTAACTTGGTCTTTCTAGGCCACTATGACGATGTCAACTAACACGTGGATGAGTAGGGATAAGAGAGGGTTAAAGGGATTTGTTGAGAGCAAAGATTGAATAGACTGTTCGACTAAAGCTATTATATATATATATATATTTATGTATGGATATAAAGAGAAATCAGAAAATATTGTTTGTAATCCATAGACAAATGGATAAAGGCCAGTATTGACAGTAATTCTGTCTATTCGTATTTTATCAATAGTATTTGTAGTGTTATAATAGTGCGCAAGTAGCTAAATGAGAAGGGCTCAATACTGCTTTTGGGAGGTTTCTTTCCCCGACCCCCCTCCCCCTCCACAAAACACACACATGGTAAAAGTTGACCTCTTTCCCCTTCAGTTGTTCCATTTTTCCACCGCAAATGATTTCAACGAAAAGACAGGTCATGATGTCAGGGTGATTTCTGAGTAGAGAGGCGGGCAGTTGGACCGGTCCACCCGACCAGCATACGGTGACACCGGGTTTATCTGTCAAACTTAATTCACTCATGCAAATTAACATGATATATCTGACATGTGGTTAGTAAAACCAGGCCTTTCTACGGGAATACGGATCGTAGAATTCGGCAAAAAAGTTACTAAAATTGACCAAGGGAGTCCGGCCGCGGGGAGGTAGTTTCTTTCCCTCCGGCCAGTCAAACCTACAAGGCGGCCAAACTCCCCCTGGCAATTATTCTCCTATATATAGCCAGCTTAGTTAGTCTGGTAGAGACTAGCTAGTAATGCCGGTTGTACTGTGTAAATTAATATTGACAGATTTGGATTCCGTTTTTGGCATTAGTGGAAGACGAAACCCCCCCTCCCTAAATAATGTTTACAATCCACAGAATGGAAAGGCCTGGAAAGCCTGAGTGTATTCTTTTCGCATTCAACAAAACATCATAGAAAACATGTTTCCTTTATACGTGGCTTGTATAAGTGTCTCAATTTATCGTATGATAGTTTTCAACGTGTACAAAATTTCGGGACAACTTTGAAGCTAAATTCTCTATAATACCTCGCAACAACAATGTCTCGGGATTTGACATAAAGGCCAGGAATATCTTTCGCAAAGTATGATCCGGATTTAATCTTAGTTCTCTTAACAATACTATTATGTTTCTGTGACCGGCCACGGCCTACCCATGTTAACCTTTACCTTTTTTTTCACACCCGAATGGTCTAACATTCAACCTTCAAAATGTCACATTACACTCGGATAATTAAATGCGAACAAGGCAGGGTTCTGATTTAAACGATTAGCGCTAATTACTGCATTACGATTGAAGGTGAGCTCGAGATTTTTGATGCTCCCCTTGGTCTGTTTTGTACATTGTGTGTTCCCTTGTTAAGTGAGTGTTGACGTAAATGTTACGGGGGTTACACCATAATTGTGTTAACTCACGCATGTAGGAACACACGTATGCAGGGAGATGCCATTCGCACATAGGGGACGTAACTTAACTTCCGTGGAAATGAAACAAAAGAAATGTAAAACTACGCGTTACATAAAACATAAAAGTTATCAAGAACTTAACGAAGTAACTTTTGATGATAGGGTGTTGGTTCATAGGCACGGGTATTTGGCGCCCCCGAAATATAATGGACTGTTCTACCACCCCGCCCCCTCCGTAAAACCAGTGTGGTAGCAACTTTTTCAGTTCATTACGCACGAGTGCGCGCACTTCGTGGCAAGTGGAGTCTACGAAATGGGTTTCGGGAAGGGGTTCTTGCCTATTTACGAGTCAAGGCAAACCCCCACCAAGTGTCTTAATACTTCTTCTCCCCTCATATCAAGAAATTCGAGCTCTAGAAATCTTACAAAGAAATTGAGAGACTCACTTTAAAGTAATACTTCATTTTCACTCATTTGACCTTTAGTGACATTTAGTACAGTGTCTCCTAAACCCCCTATCATATCCTCTAATTGTCGCGGTTATAACTTGTTGGCCAATCTTCCACACACGACTTGCCGCTGAAGGATTTTCCCATGATATGCGGGGGTGTTGTGTATACAGGCGGCCCCCTAGTCTCTGTGTTTTTATTCCCAGTACAGTGTCAGTATCGGTTGGAAGAACATCGTACGGACAGTGCGCCTTGTCTTCACCTGGTCTTCAGCATGACGCAATATGTGCGTGACAAGAACGTCTACCCTGTGATCGTATAACGTGATTTCTTCTGAGCCTTCTAACCTTTCCCCCCTCCCCCTTTTACTCCAGTGAGTTTCATGTGTCCTCGTGGCGCTGCTTCAAGGACAGTCCGTCTATTGTATTGACCAGACGACTTGTACCTGTACAGCCCCGGGTACCGGCACGGTGTGGTCAGTCCTGATCTTATCCAGACCCGATAACAACAGTTACAGCTGTACACAGCCGAGCAGAACGCCCTGCATATTGAGTCTAACGTCGTAAGTAGAGTCGCCATCCATTTGTCACCGGTGTATCACGGTGTCTTCAGGTGATTTGTGACTGGCGTGCAGCAATGGCGACGACAGAGACTGAGCAGGCGGAAACGCCGCTTCTTGGTGGATTTCTGTCGTGCGGGATTTGCGGAGCATCCAAGGAGAAAGAACTGAAGGCGTCGCCATGCCTGCACCTGTTCTGTCAGGACTGTCTGCGAGAGAAGGCAGGAGAAGACGGGACGTTCTCGTGCCCAAGGTGTAAGAAATCTGTGTCTCTCCCAGCCGGTGGGGTTAACGACCTCCCAGACAGCCTGTGGGTCCATGACGTCAGGCGGGCGCTGGAGAGCAGGCCGGCCGCGCCGCCAGACTCGCCCGAAGCCATCAGGGAAGGCTGCGAACACCCCGTGGAAAACGCTCGAATCTTCTGCGACAACTGCGACAAGGCTATCTGCGAGGACTGCGTCCAAGAACCGAACCCGCACAAGGGTCACCAGGTGCGTCTACTCAGCGACGCCATCAAGCAGAAACAAGGAGAAGTGCAGACAGTGATATCGTCGTGTCTGGTGGGCGTTTCCAACGGCGGGGCGACGCTGAACAAGTTAGACGCCTCCGACAAGAGTCTTCGCGCCAGGAGAGACAAACTTATCCAGGAGATTGAGCGGGAAGCGCAGATTTTGATTGACAGAATAGTTGCACGGCGTGAGAGACTCGGGGCAGACGTCGAGTCCAAGTATAACGAAAAAAGTCGCCTCCTTCAGGAGAAGAGATCGGAGACGATAGAAACCGTCGCACATCTGCTTCACGCGGTAGAAAAGGCTGAGACGTCTTGTAAGGAGGACAACTACTTGAGACTATCCGGGGCGAAGTCGGACATGATTCACCTGAGCCAGAGGCTGACACATGTTACAGGTAGGACGGTTTCTCACGTGTCGCTTCCACTAATAGCAGCACTTAACTTAATAGTCTTTTGCATCCTTTTGGGACAGTTGTCACTACTGTCCAGTAGAACTATAGCCTAGGTGTCTGGAATTAAAACAGCTAGTCTTTTTTCCCCTTCAGTGGCTTTGCAGTAGTCATCAATGCTAAAAGGGGCTGAAAAGAGCTTTATCTTGTTTATGAGGCTGACATATTCGTCGTTCGACAGCTCTAAGACCAGCAAATTAAACTAAGGGCATTCACCCGACAGAAGAGGCTGTCGTAGATTCTAGTCGACAGTCGGATCCGTCATTATTATCTTGCTAAAAATCTAGATCTTTCGCCACAAAATGGCCAAGGTTGTAACTGGCGTTGTTCTATTTTTATCCCTACAGCCGAGATTGACCTTGACGCCTTTGACCTTGGCTTGAAGTTCACGTCTAGAGGTATTCCCGAGGACGGGGTGTTCCGAATTGGGCGTGTGGAGGAGCTGCCGGTCATCCGTCGGGTCAGTTCGGACAGTTCCGACAGTCGGGACGATGGTCTGGTCGACGCTAGACCGAGAAACGGAGTCGCCGTAAACGGCAACAACAACGGGGAGAGGAACGGGGAGGCTGAACACTCGGACGAGGCGGTGCTGGCAGAGTGTCAGGAGGAGCAGTGCCGCACATCGGACCGGTCTGTGATGGTGGGACGGGCAGGGACGAAACAGGAACAGTTCAACCACCCGTGCGGACTCGCCGTCTCCGAAGACGACGTCATCTTCGTCGCCGACACCGACAACAAGCGGATCCAGGTGCTGAACAGCGGCGGGGAGTTCGTGCGCGTCATGCCGACCCTCAGCAAGACGTGGCTCGGCAGGAACACGGAGCACGCCCCGGTCTGGGTCGCCATCGGCGCCGAGGGAAACCTGTACGTCACCTACCGGCGGAAACCCGGCGTCGACGTGTTCCAGGAGGACGGCGCCTTCGTGACGTCATTCGCGCGAAACGTCAAGTCCAGCCGGATCGCGATCAGCCCGCTGGACGGTCACGTGGTGGTGGCCTCAGAGAGCGGGATCCGGATCTTCACGTCGGACGGGCAGGCGCAGAAGATGTTCTCCGGCCCGGCGTTCCTGGGAGGGGTGGCCGTGAGCCCGCAGGGGGACATCCTGGTGTCGGACAGGCGGGAACACTGCGTCAAGGTCTACAGGTGAGACATACGTCATCTCCAAGCAGAGGTTGGGAGGAAAGCTTTTTTATGTGTGGTGCACTGGGCATATAGCGTGGGATTAAAACAATTTGGCGGTAATTTAGATATTGCACAAAGCTGTTAATGGCTTAAATTACTCCATGGCAATATTCTATTATACAAACGTGATTGTATACCTTATATTCGTCTTTGTCGTCATAGCGGCGTTACTATTATAAAACATGTAGTAAGTTCTACTACATTGTCTTTTGTTACTCGCTTTGCTTTATTGAAAAGATCAACACATTGAAGTTATGAAACAAATTTGAACGGTAATTTCCAATACAAGAAATCGGACTTGAACTCGACGTAATCCACATGGTAATTTTAAAAGTTCTTTAGATCAGACCAGTCTGGTTAAAATCTATAGAAGTTCAATTTTCCTAGAAGCGCTTTTAGTACATATTATTCGTTACTGCACATACTCTATGTTAAACTCAGGTTCTTGTCTTGTTCCCCAGACCTGACGGTAAGCTACAGAGGACGCTGAGCGGCTGGGGAGAGAAGAAGGGCCAGTGTTACTCCCCGCGGGGAGTGTGTGTGGACCGGCGCGGGAACGTCATCGTGGCGGACCGGGACAACGGCCGGGTGCAGATGTTCAACTCTAGCGGCAAGTTCCTCAGGGTGCTGGGGACGAGAGCGGACGGGCTGGACCGGCCGGAAGAGGTGGCGTTGCTAAGCGACGGTCGAATCGTCGTTCTGGACTCCGTGCACCAGTGTCTGTTCGTCATCACTCCATAGATGGGCTATCTGCTTGTATAATCATGTTTGGTAATATTGGAAACTGATCTTAGTTTGAGGGGACTAAGACCATAGCCTCTACCAGGCTTCGGGAGGCGGCCGGAATAGAGAGAGTGGGATAATAAAAATCCCAGTATGAACGATGTCTTAGTAGCCTCTACCAGGCTTCGGAAGGCTGCTGGAAAGAGTATAAATTGTCCAAATAGACAGGTAACATGCCAGGGGAGTTGGTTCACTAGATAGCACAGTTTGCCACAAACATTACTATCTAGTGGACCAACTCCCCCGGCATGTTATCTTTCTCTACTAGGCCGATTTCTACTCTTTCCAGCCGCCTTCCGAAGCCTGGTAGAGGCTACTGAGACCCCGTTCATACCGTGGCGGGATTTTTTCTTATCCGACTTATTATCCTTCTGTGTAATGTATGCACATTGGTGCTGTTAGAAATGAAAACTAAAGTTTCGATAGGTATTATTTGCTACATTTGTACTTTGTCATCGTATCATGTTATATTGCTTCTAGGTTTGAAAATACATTGTTAGAATTTAGGAAAGCGGAGCGGAATATAGTTTGAACAAGGCGAATAGAATCCATCCCTTCCTGTATATTGTTAGGTTGCATTATACATATGTAGCTATTAGATTACTTGAGGAATGTTCTGTTTAGAAATTAAATACTGAGTATAAGTGTTATTCTGAAAGACTTATGAACTAAATTGAATTGTGTAGAAATTTTAAGAACAGTGCAGAAGATGTAACTGTATAGACGGAAAATATGTAGCAAATGTGCACGATCCGTTACACTGATGGATATCGTAGAGTTTGAATTTTGCTGTAAGAGTCTATTATTTGCGATATTCTAACATGCTTCTTGAGCTAAAATACGGCTGTTTTGTTTTTATTTCTGACAACATACTAGTACCTTCTATTGAAACACATGCGAGTCGGGCTAGGTTGTGAGACGTTGTGGGACCGGCATTTCTATAGCCTCCGACCTCCGTTGCAGGCGTTCCGCGAGTGGTTGACGTTTTTTTTGGGTGGGTGGGTGTGTGTGTGTGGTGGGGTGTGGGTGGGTTNTCAAGACACACACACACACACACACACACACACACACACACACACACACACACACACACACACACACACACACACACACACACACACACACACACACACACACAAATGTTTTAAAGCACCCGAAACGATTTCAGGGCAGTAAAACTGAATTTTCAGTTTAAAATCGTCGATAAAGAGACACGATTAGTCGAAAATCGAAGAAATATGATACAAGATTATAGACGTATTCCTAGAGGCGTTTATCGCAATGTTTGTCACCTACTAGCTAGAAAACGTTCTTGTCGGAACCATAAGATGAATGGGTCATACAAAGATCATTTTGTTTTGAAAAAAAATTATAAGGTGTGTTTTCCTCCTAAATTTATAAAGTTAAACGAAGTGGATAGTTTGAGAACTAAGCCATAATTAAATCATCGTATTTTTCAGGCCTGCATGTGTGATGATTGCCTATTGGCCTATCGTTAATCTTATGTTAACTTGATTATTGAATTCAAATTTTGCTCATGATTTACAGGTGACACAGGCACATGTGCGTGAAACACGCATTTCCAAGATGGCGAGTGTACATGCATGGACGGGAAGAACGAGGGGGTAAAAATTCCGCCCAGGAAGACGCGCCACGTCCGCTTTTGAGGTAAGCTGTACTTTAATTTGTCGTAGATACTCTCCGGAGTATTATAGGTAAATCTCCCTTAAGTTAAATGAAGCAAAAAGACAGAATTTCGAAGATAAGTTGAGGCAACTGCCCCCACGAGTTAACGCTGCACTAAGTTAAGTAACCGCTGGTGGCGCATTTGTGCCGGCACATGTAGTCCAGTGAATATGTATCTGCATGGAGGTCCATGGTATCTGCATGCAGAGGAGGATAAAAAAGCAATTAGCACCGTATCCACCAATTCTTTGAACAAGGGTCAATCAATTACTATTCTATGAGGGTGAAATCAGTGATCCTGAAGTAGGAAAAAAAAAGAATACCGGATAAAAACTCTGGTATACGGGTACTACAGGCAGTTGGTCAAGCCTGATCTTCAAGGTATGAATGGTGCTCTATGTCGATCTAGATCTCTTCTTTCGTTTAAAGAAAGTTTGACAGATTCTTTGATATCAATCGCTGTAATCATAATGAGGTATCCCTGTATTTTAAAGCGTGAATAACCTATACAGAGACGCGAGGCCAACCAAATGTCAACCCGTATTGGTAAACAGCACACCTCTGCCTTAAGAGCTGCAGTTTGTAAATAAACCGCTGAGGGGCGCTAAACAGTGCACACCTGTGACCTCTGACCTCAATAGCTTTGGTTGAAACGTGGTTTGTGTTGTTGCCCTGTGCGTTTTGGTCAAAGTCTATGTAAAACCAAAGTGTTCCAAGGCCAAGAGCAGACAGGAGGGACACGATAATTCCGTTTGCGGCAGAGGATGACATGGACAAGGTGATAGATCATTCGGAAGGAGAGGAGACAGACGACCGGCAATTTCGAGTGGGGAGGGGGGCGGTAACAGAGTTGTTTTAAAATGTATCAAAGATCATATCCAGGATAATGATATACTTCATATAGTACCAGGAAGGTAAATTTGTCGGTAGAAAAGACACAAAGAATCCACCATAGGTTTTTAGGGCTGTGAGACAGGCGTTATTTTGGTCTGGAACAGGTCAGCATTTTTTTATGCATTAATAGTTGAACGTGGCTATATACACTCCCGGAGTGTATATAAAATCTATTTGTCTTTTATATACACTCCAGGAGTGTATATAAAATCTATTTGTCTTTTATATACACTCCGGGAGTGTATATAAAATCTATTTGTCTTTTATATACACTCCCGGTGTGTATATAAGATCTATTTGTCTTTTATATACACTCCCGGAAAGTTGATAGGGCATTCGAATGATCTGTCGCCGGTGCGAAGACCGCGCGATCGGCTGTGTTATCCGGAGTCACCAAAGGGACCGGGGCGAACCCCGGGTTGGTCTTGGTCTGATAAATGCACGCCAGACCGTGAGGTCGGCGCTTCTTCCGCATGTATTAGCTCTAGAATTACCACAGTTATCCATGTAGGATGTGACGATCAAAGGAACCATAACTGATTTAATGAGCCATTCGCAGTTTCACTGAGACAGTTTAAACTTGCACGTGCATGGCTTAAACTTTGAGACAAGCCTATGACTACTGGCAGGATCAACCAGGTAGCGAGGACGCCAGGGGCGCGCGACGGGTCTCGCCGCCGCCGCCGGGAGCGGAGGGTCCCGGGCCCCGCGCAAGCGGGGCGGGGCGGTCCGCTCGACCGAACTTCGGTGGAGATTTCCGTGTTGTTTTCTGATTTTCATCATCCAATAAGATAAACTTGAAGACCGAGGTTTAAACTTGGTGCCCCTGAATCCTCAAACACTCACAAAAACCCAAGTTTTGGGCCTACCAAGGAGGCTAGTATTTCGGAGTGTATATAAAATCTATTTGTCTTTTATATACACACCGGGAGTGTAAATAGCCACGGCGTTAATAGTTTCCAGTTGTTGAGCGGTAAATCCCAAACAGACTCTTGATCTTGACTTTGGTAGATTCTGAGATTGGAATTTTTATATTTGTCGTGTAAGCCTTAGACAAATTGATGACAGCCAACAATACCTGAATATGATAATTTGTATGCCATGTTGCTGTTACTGAAGCTCCTATGCATGTTGTTGCAGATTCTGAATTGGAATCCATCAAGGAGCTCCAAACCAAGGAAAATGTTTTCAGAGGTACTGTAAGTTATGGGAACACAACTTGACAACAAATAACAACAAATCGCAGTGGCATTGTGATCCTGGGTTTCTGTATCTGTATAACCGGTATATTAAACCGCCCTTCGGCGTAACACACCAGCTTCGCAGGCACACGGCGCGGCGGCAGTTTGAATCCATAGCAGGTCTGTATACGCGATGGGGCTCGATATCCTTTCATGACTTGTTCATCAACTTTCATCGAGTTGAAATCTTATTATCAGTTGATAATATTGCATGTGGTAAATGATTGTTAAAGTGAAATCCTGTACAGTTTCTTTGACACGTTTGCATGTGATGATGATGGTTTAATTGATACATAAATACATATTTGACATGATGTACTTCACGTGAGTATTCTATCCATCATGTACTACGCATGTACTCAGATTTCATGTTTGTGGTAACATGACTTTACTTTCATATACCTTTTGGTTGTCCCCAGTTCAAGCAGTTCAATGTTTGACCAGGTATATTTTATGAAAAAAATGTTTTCAGATGGATGTGCCAGTGGGTAAAGTCATCATATGAGCTACTGTTTAATAACTTTGAGATGGATTTCTCACGTGAAAATTGTTATTATAATGTTCGTCTTTGCAGAATTGTGAGTTTTACTTAACTTTTTGAGTACCTTAGAAATGCTGTTTACACTATTATGACTGTTTTATTTCTGTGAATATTTTCATGAGCTGATATTTAAAATGCATTTCCATTTGAAGTTGGTTCTGATGTTTTTGCACCTAAGCCAGTTTTTGTAAATGAATGTCAACATGAGATAAATATTATGTTGTTATTTGGATTGTGATATCTTGCATGAGATGTATTTTCATGTGATTGTTGTTTGGTGATGAGTACTATTACTAGGTAGTCTATGTTCACTGTTGGCTGTGATTTTGGTTTTCTCTTACTAACAACCAAATGTTTCATGTGTTCTTTCCCCAACCAACGCAGGTTTTAGAATAAATGGATTGTAACGACTTATGTGATATCTCAGGGCTCGAAATACTGGGCGCCAAAATTGGGGCTGTGCACCCAATTTTTTTTCTGTGGGTGCATTTTTGTTGGTATTTTTGTACATATGAAATGTATGATAGTATACAGGATAGTCTTGGCATCTAAGTGTCAGAAAAATAGTAAAATATTTGTTGAGGATTTTGATGTTAG